AGGCTTTTCCGAATAGAATAGAGCAGACAGGACTTGAACAGTATCGTTAGAACGAGATTGATGAAAGGTATGTCCAGGTCACTGAATATAGTGATGTCATAATGAGCTTTGACGTTTCGTCAGGGATGGGAGGATGGATTGAATGCACTGGATGTCGGCTGGCCTGGTGAAACTGTTCAAGTGCAGGTAAGGTTTTTACTAACTGGGGGTATTACTTATAATTGATTTCTGTCCTAGAACTCTGCGTAGTTGCCCAACTCTTGTTATTGGTTATTTTTTTAAATTCAATTCCGAGGGTGGGCTTGTCGATGGTTTAAAATCCGCAACGTTATATTTAGAAACTTTTGAACGAATGTTCATCGTTCTCTCCTTCCGGCACAAAACGCAAAATCGCCACATTCAAGGTCGTTTAATCAACTCCAGGGCAAATAAAATCCGGCATTATCGCGTCCGATGTTCGTGTCATCAATCTGCAACTGTTTTCCCCGCCCCGCCGTCACCAGGTGAAGAGAGAGTCATCAATCTAATTTAACACACAACCTTCGCTTATCCAGTATCCGGAGCAATTTTCAGTTATCGTCGTTTGCTTTCGCCATCGTAGAATGCATTAATCAAATTCTTTTGATAGAAAAAAGCTCAAATAGTGGTTTTTGTCTAAAAACGTTTGCCATTTAGATAATGTACTTGTATTGGCTTTTTAAAAAATCTATAATGAACACTAAAACAGCTTACTCTAAGCACTTAATCAAGCTTAGTTCATTATAATAGAATAATCCATTATTTTAGTTTTATTTTTGTTTTTTAAATAGAAATTGTTGGATTGTTCCATAAGTACAAGCTTTTATAATCTGCCTATGTTCTTCCATCGCTTGAAAGCTGCAATTTGAGGCGTGATGCGCATTCCTCATTTAGGCGAGAAACGAGGAGACAAAAAGGGGCCAAAAGGGTTAAAAATTGTTTGACCGCCCGTCAATTAATTGCGGGCATCCGACCGAGGGCAGTCCCCTTTGTTAACCGGCAGACGAGACAGGAACGAACATGCATATAATTCGAGGGTAAATGGGAGAGTTTCAAGTTACCCGCTAGTCGAGCGAGGAAAAAGTACAGGCAATTCTGTCACACACACAAATACGTAACGCATTTGTACAAACACGTTTATAGATAGCGACAGTAGACACAGAATTCTCTATGTAACTTTTCAACTTAAGGCTAATTGCAATCAGTCAATCAACTGGACTTCAATCAGTTTTAACGTATAACGTATTGTAAGAACCTCCTCACAGTACAGAATCGCTGATCCGAAAATTGACATGCCAATTTTCCGGTAAAATCCATTACAACAGTGAATTAAATTAAAAATACAGCTAAAAAAATGGCACACCTAATTCCACATCTTTAAGTTTGGTTTTACGACTGTTATTTACTATTCTATTACTAAGAACATAAGAATCACATTTATTCTCATTATTCTCTGTGATGTCATCATTGATTGAGTGTGTTTTGTGCTTCATTGGCATCCTGTTTATTACATTTACTACCACTTCTTGACTTATTTGGATCCATGGTTGCAGTAATGCGTTCCTTAGCTTTGGTAATTTGCTAGGAAGGTTAATTTGTCGTGTAATACAACCCACAGGCTCATCCCTAAGGAGCTCCATTGGATTCAAATCAATAGTACCGTGCAGACCTGTTAAATGAAGAATATCCACTTCTGTAAGATTTTGCAGTACGGAGTAGAATAAGTTTATAACGATTTGTTAAAAATATTTACATAGTTATAAATTTCTTGGGGGGGGGGTTGATGAGACTGTAATTTGATCCTTCCCAATCATCATGATCGGCCTTTTTCTCACTGTGTTGGACCGTCAGACGCGTTTGAGCATTTCAGCAACATCAATGTGTCTGAGATAGTACGTAGATAGCCGAAACGCAACTGACTGACAACCCAGATCAAAATAATCGGTAAAGATCAAATTTCATATTTTTATTACTTTTTATATTGTTAAAATACCTTTATAGTTTATATGTTTTATCTCTGTAGTGACGGTTCAAGTCATAGTTCTTCAAGATCCTACTGAGTAGATCATCTTAAGGTAACATACACTGAAAACCTCTCGCTTGTCTTCAGAATACGCGTAAACTCCATATTGGTTGATATAAAAAAACAAATAACCTCGAATAGAATGAGAGGAGTAAGAAGTTGTTAAAGAAGTCTTTGTCGCAAATCGACGACATGCAACCCGCATAGGTAGAGCTTCAGAAAGCACATGGGTTCAGGCTGACAAGCTAAAATCTTTGAGACAATGGGAAGTAAGAGTTGATGGTCTATTATTTAATTTTGTAGAGCAATTCCTGGGCCTATTAACTCGGTGACCTGATATGGAGATAACATAATATATAAGATATGGAGATGAGATAATAAAAGAAGATATGGTAAAAACCAAGTATCAATCCGAGTAATTGATACTGGTACACAAGGGCACACCCGACTCCGAAAGATGTACAATCTTAGAGGGATTTATTGCTGATTACAGGAATCGGTTTCATACAAGTTTCTTAAGCAGGTAAGTTCATCCCAATGATTATGACCATACCGTGGAAAGTACACTTTTTCCTGCAAAACTAAGAACTCTCCTCGATGCCTTTTTTTGCGCCTCCCTTGGTATTGTAATTGCCTTAGAGATGTAGATGTACTTTGTCTCTGGTTTTTCCTGACAGACTCGGCATGTTTCTGTCTCTGCTTTGCCAATCTTGTTGAACTATGAACTACAGAAGGGATTCAAAAGAGGTAAGGAGGCGTTTTTGGGGATTGGCAGAGGAAGAGAATTCCAGTGATTTGTAGCTCGAGCTAGGAAGGACCTCTTAAATGTGGAGTTTGATGACTAAGAAGACTAAGGTCATTGGACAACGAGTGGGAGTTAAGAGAGTGAATAGACGATGTGAATAAAAGTAGCTGGAAAAATAGTGAGGCCGACGAGATTTTATGAAAAAAGGATGGAACGTAGGAAATACATCTTAGGGATGGAGGGATAAAGTCATGATAGGTCTGAATACAGGACTCTGGAGATTGGGCCGAAAATAAATCTGACACAATTCATCAGTATTTTCCGACGTTTATCTTGTTCCTCGGAAAGTCCACCACAAGCGGTATAGCTAAAGATGAGGGAGAAGACAAGGAGTTTAAAAAGGAAGGAGCGCCGAAGGAATTGAATGAGAAATGCAATACGGCGTCGGGAAATTTGGGGTGTTTCCAGGAAAGGTTTTGGTCGATGGTAACACCGAGGTTTTTAAGAATGAAGCAGAAGGAAATGAGCTGATTGTTGATGGTGAAAGGAGGGATGGGGGTGATATGAAGAGGTGACTGGATCCTAGAGCAATGACTTTGGACTTCCTAGGATGTAATTTTAAGTTGTTATTATCTGACCATTCGTTTGGGGATTCTGGGGGTAGCCCAATGCAGGTCGTAAGGATGGGCGGATCTACGTCCAGGGGTTTGTGAATAGGTCCAAAAGGTTTATGCAGGACTCGTGAGCCGACCAGGTCCCGGACCTTTTAGGGATGGGGTACGGGCCTACCCAGGCTTTTAACCCCTCGGGTCCTGGTCGCCCGCCCTGTGTAATATATATACACACCAAAATAGTAATCAGCATCTCCTCCCCTCTTGACAATAACACCTCCGTTTTTCAGGCGGAAATCTGTGTGTTGTAGAACACTTATGGAAAATAAAATTAAGAGAAAAGATATTAAAATCTTTTCTGACAGTCAGGCTAGTCTTAGGGCATACAAAAAGATTTGTCAACCTCACGACTGGTGGAGGAAACTATAGATCTTATCAATAGGATCTCTTTCAGGTTTGAGAATAAGGTGACCCTTATTTGGATACCAGCACATAAAGGACACCATGGCAATGAAAAGTCGGATGGCCTAGCCAAAAAGGTTCTAATACTGCGTTTGTCGGGCCACAACCGGTATTACCTCACTCTATGAGCACAGCGAAAGAGAGTATCAATAACTGGGGCATGAAACAATTCCTTACGGAGTGGAATTTATCCCCCGGACACAGGCAATCGAAAGAGTTTGTTAAGGCGATCAAACCAGCAGAATCGAAATGGGTATTTTCTATCTCAACGAAGGGAATTATGAGGCTGATAGGTATTCTGACGGGCCACTGCCCACTGAGAAGACACCTCTTCGTAACGGGTATCCTACCAGATCCCTTTTGCCGCTTCTGCGAAATAAAAGAAGAAACGGCAAGGCACTACCTCACAGAGTGTGGTAGGTATGCTAGGTCTAGATTAGAAATCTTTGAAGGAGAGGACATCACCAAATCACTCCCTGAAATAAAATGGTCCAAAATCTTGGGGTTTGTGAACAAGTCCAAGATGTTTATGCAGGACACGTGAGCCGACCAAGTCCCGGACCTTTTAGGGATGGGGTACGAGTCTACCCAGGTCTTGGTCGCCCACCCTGCACAATATATATATATATATATATATATATATATATATATATATATATATAAAAGGATGGGCGGACTTCTAAATTTGAGAAATTTTATTTGTCACCAAAAACATGTAGCATGTTTTTTACTTAAAGTTATACTAAATAATAATCATTTTCATCAACTGTCGAAAGAAACCGCACTACTTTGCCAGAAACGTGAAAGTCCCCAAGTATCCAATAAAGCGACGTTTTCATAAAGTGATATTTTTATTACCGATTTAGAATTCGCAGACGTAAAATACCACTTTTCGACCTTACCTGACAGCTTATATACGTTTTTACGTGTTAAATAAATTTGTGGATATATTTTTACCTTGGAAATTCACCGTCGGCAGGAAAAGGGGTTCCGCTTTCTGACATTTTTGGCCCATTTCGTGGGTTTTCATGACACCTATTTCCAATGTACGGTTACTGCTTCGTAATAATGTATAGTGAATATTAAAAAAACATTCCAATATTACGTTACACTGTTTATTAACAGTTTTATTTTATTACAGCCCATAAACGTCGAAAGGAGAAAGGGAGGAACAACCATGAATGGAGGAATTTACGTAGTCTTGATGTTAATGGGTAAGTTTTTGTTTTTTAATAGTTGGCCAAGATTTGTGGTCTGATTTATTTAATATAGCATTTTCTTCAAATACATAACACAGATATGTTTATATTTTAATGAAAAAAATTACAAAAAAACTTTACGTTTATGGTAGATAAAAACTAACGAAAACTAATAATTTGTTTTAATCAGTAAATAAAATCTGTTACATAGAATGTAAAAATTAAATTTATAGCGACATAATTTTTTAATATTGAGCGACAATCTTGCAATGAGCAATATGTTCCATCGAAGAAGTAAAAAACTTTAAAAGACCCATGTCATTGCAGTTCACAGAAGATAGTCTCTCAAAAAAAAAAAAATCATATATTAAAACCTGTCTTTTATTGTCTGGTAACAACTCTGAGGAGAAAAGGCCACAGGAAGCACATAGCTAATTAAAGTTCCACGAAATATTTGCTCCTTGCAATAATATCTCCTCGATATTGAGATCACACGATATGACAAAAATTTTGACAAAGAAAGTTAACTAAGCTAGTTAAACTTGAACACTAACGTGTGGTGTTTCACATTAACGACTGTACATAAGTGCATTTGTTATTAATTGTAGATTTGCTAGCTAGTGAAAAATTAATAGAGGTCGTATTCGAGCAGTTTCAATTAATAAAATGTTTTTAACAAAAGTAGTAATATGTGATTTTGACAAAAAATTAACAATTAATTAAGAAATAAACAAAAGGGGGGAAGGTTTATGCTGTTTATTTTACAAAAAACAGATGAATTTTTGATCCATTGTCATTTACACTATTTTTCTTTTAATCTCTCACTAAATTTGCAAAATTTCAGAAAAGGGATATTCATTATCTCCACTCTCTCTCTCTCTCTTTCTCTCACTCCCTCTCTAAATTCAGTTTCTCTTTAAATTTGCGAGATTTTTTAAATAAAGGATAATTTACAATTAATTAAGGTTTTTAGTTGAGATGAAAAAAAGTTAATGGCACGAGAGGGATTCGAACCCACGACCTTCGGCTAGATACGCCGCTGCTCTTGAGATGGGGAGTTGATGTCCGAGTGGATCGATGTCACGATAGCTCAGGTGGTAGAGCAGCGGCGCATTTAGCCGAAGGTCGTGGGTTCGAATCCCGCTCGTGACACTGACTTTTTTATATCAACTAAAAACCTTAATTAATTCTAAAGTATTAATTGGTCAAGCGGACCACGAAATTAGTGAATATAAAAGATAATATTAATTCATTCTATCTCTCTTTCCATCTAAATCGAATCTCTCTCTAAATTAGGGACTTTTTTTTAATAAAACGTTATTCAATTATTCAACCTCACTCTCTCTCTCTTTCTCTCTCTCTATTTCTCTCTCACTCCCTCTCTAAATCCAATTGCTCTCTAATTTGCGTGATTTTTTAAATACAGGATAATGTTAATTATTAATTCATTCTATCTCACTTTGTATCTAAATCTAACGTCTCTCTACATGAGGGACTTTTTTTTAAATCAAACGATATTCAATTATTCATTCTCACTCTCTCCCTCTCTCTCTCTCTCTCTCTAAAACAAAAATTGTAGAATGGAAGGTTCATGATTACAAGAAAATGACAAAAAGCGAACAACTTCAGGCATATGTGTTTTTATTTTCATTTTTTTTCATTATATAAAATTCATTTTATTTATTAAATTACTTTCCCTTCCTCTCTCATACATACTGGCAAAAGCACCACTCTCATGGATTAATTAAATTAAACTTCATCGCGCAAACCAAATTAAAGGGCTAGGGAGCTCGAATTTTTATAAAACTTGAATCTGAAAACCATATTTTATAACGGACGATTTATCGTTTTAGTGTACGTCCCTTTTGCACTTGCCTTATATAAATCGGCCACAAGCAACAATGCTTGCACTTAGCAAACTTTAGGGAGAAAGTTCTGTAATTGAGTTTGCACAGCCTCTATCCGCTTATTTTCGGTCTGTTGTGTAACTCGGCCGATGTTAGATCCTGTAAGAAAGATTGAGGTTTCCGATTAAAAACCAATTAGCAGCGGACTCACCCAGTCGGTGATCAATAAATGCGCTCAAATGGGTGCCCTTATTTCCATAGTATTAACTTTTCTCCGAATAACACTGGAACATAATACCTAGATTGGAGCCGTCTATCAATTAAAGTGTTTTGCTACTTTTTGTTTCGATTTCGCTCATCTTTGGCAATCTGTAGATCTAAAGTTTTAACAAACTAGTTCTTACTGTATTTCAAGATTAATTAATAATTCAAGATTAATTCCAAAATGTGAAGCAAGCCTTCGATCGGGTAAGGCAGCAAGAAAGTCTTTACCTGATCCTGAAATAATTCAACTGACAATACTTTCATGTTATTAATAGCCGCTCTCTATCAGCCGTATATCGCCCTAATGTAGGGGTACCACAACAAAGACTTAGGACCGATCCTCTTCACAGTAAACACCCCAGACATTCCAATTCATTCTGAAACGATTCTTACCACCTATGAGAATGATACTGCCAGGATCATAATATCATGTCATTTCAACCAGAAACTTGCAAACCTATGTCACATCTCTTGAGAGTGATTCAAGCGGTGGGACATGACAATAAATTTAAAAATATATGAACATATCACTTTTACCCTTCGGGAATAACCACTGCTCTCATCTGCAATAATATCATTCTCCCACCAGTTAATGTAGACCGCCACCTTCGGCTATAAATTGACAAACGACTTCCATTAAACCCTTAACATGCGACAGAAAAGACAAGAGCTAAACAGAAGTTTCAGACTTTTAAAGGATTGCTGAACAAACGATCAAAACTGACTTGATAAAATCAATGACTTATTTACAGAACTATTTTGACACCAATTGAACTTACAGCATCAAACTGCGTTCAACAAAACATTCCATCCTCCAACTTATACAATCCCTGCAATTAAAAATCCTTCGAACCCACAACCAATTCCTTTTTATGTACCCAATCTTACCATTCACAATGACCTTAAGATCTAATATGTCCTTGGAGATCTGGTTACTGATTCTGTGATTTCAAATAGTGCTATGTTGATATCCTAGAATGCTAGTATCTCGTTTGTACCTCAGGTTGTCAAATACAAACAAAACATACAATACATATATATACATCACTACAAACAATGTCTGGTCACATTCACTCCCCCAGAGTACTAGATATTCCTTGGGGCGGGGTTATAAGCAACCCCTTCCTTTCACGCTAATAAATTACTTTCTCTCCAGATGTCACACACTCACCCCAGAGTACTCGATATTCCTCGTGGCGGGATTATAAGCAACCCATTCCTTTCACGCTAATAAATTACTTTAACTCTCCAGATGTCATACACTCACCCCAGAGTACTCGATATTCCTCGTGGCGGGGTTATAAGCAACCCATTCCTTTCATGCTAATAAATTACGTTCATTACAATTAATTAACACAGACACAACTGTCGATAGATATATAGAAGTCTGGTCGCACTCACTTTTTGGAAAATCCAGTTTCAATTGACGTAGCAATCAAAGAGAGATTCAGAAATAAACTCCTTTTGAATCACAAGCCAAATATTATAAAATTATCAAAATTATAGGAAAACAGGCACTAAGTTAAGGAAAAACGTTTGTACGAGGCACAATGAAAACCAGATTTCTGTGTGATAATAGGTCCAAAAATATGAGGCACGTGTCCCAGCATTATTTCCAATGGCTCTAGGAATCCAGAAAAAAATTATATATATAACATCTCTTAGAAAGAGATATTCCAAAAATATGCACTATATTAAAAACGATAATAAATTAGCAATAACATAATATTGATTAATTAAATACTAAATAAAAATTCACTAATTTCGTGGTCCTTTTGACCAATTAATACATTACAATTAATTAAGGTTTTTAGTTGAGATAAAAAAGTCAATTGAAGTCAAATTGAAAAATGACAAAAAGGAGGGAAAATTCATGGGGTTAAGATGGGGGAGTTGGTGTCCGTGTGGGTCGAAGTCACGGTAGCTCAAGTGGTAGAGCAGCGGCGTAATCTAGCCGAAGATCGTGGGTTCGAATCCCGCTCGTGCCATTGACTTTTTTATCTCAACTAAAAACCTTAATTAATTGTACTAAATAAAAAGATGTAAAAAATAAAATTAGAACAAATGTAATTACATTTAAGTAACTAATAGGGAAATTTAATCAAAAATTAAAACAAAAACAACTTGGATGGAGCATGGTGGGACAGAAGGTCAGAAAGCTAGGTAAATCTCACCCTTTCTCCTAAGCCCGAGAAGAAAGTTTTTCATTAAAAGGTATTTAGATCTGCTTTCCTTATTTTACATTTTACATTTATGGCTGATTATTAATTAAATAAATTTATTTTCTTTTGAATTATATTTTATTTTATATAAGTGAAATTTATATTAAGTTCTAACAATTGCATTGTAAACTAAAAACATTTAATATAAAAAATTATGAAAATTAAATTATTATTTTGATTTTTTCCATAAAAATTAAATAAAATAAATAATTAAAATTGTATTAATTCTTATATCTATCATATGTTATTATTATTTGGAGGCATTAATTGTAGCAATTAAACTATCAATATTTTCGTTTTAAAACATACTAACGAGTAAGTATAAAATTGTTCCTTTAAAATCTCTGGGGCAAGTACTATTTTACTTGTAGGGCGACAGCACGTTTTTTTAGTATGGATGTTGTCTTTGTGTTGTAGGAATTTAATTAACTATACATAATTATATTTGGCTTGTTACGATACGTTTGTTACGGATAAGCAAATAATATGGAGGATGTATTAAACGAAACTAAATGAACAAAAAGCTACTAAAAAACGGGCGGGGCTGTGTCGGGGTGCGAACGTTTATCATTACGGATGTAGTTATCGACCAGTAGTTAGTAAAATGTCTAGGTCAGCAAGTCGATTTCAGCCTATTCAATTAAATCGAAACTAGACATTGACCTGGTGTCCGGTGTTATTT